CAAATTTGGATGAATCCGAAAATAAAAAGAATAAATCATCAATATACCTCTTGAAGAAAAAAATGTGTGTAAAAAAAGGATTATATACTGGATTCAAAATCCATTTCTGTTCGAAGGAAGCGATAAATAACTTAGCCACACATAGTGCAAACGCACTCCCCATGGCTACTCCTCGAATTTGAAAGTAGAAATCATCCTGGAACCTAAAAAAACTTTTGTCAAAAATAATTTAAATCTAGAAGAAAATGTGTGGGAGGGGTTAATAAATCCCTAGATTCCAAGACATCAGCCAAACATTGTCGTGCCTCTTCATGAGGAATGTTAGTATAAAGCGAAGTCACATCTAATGTTGCTAATATGATATTTTCAGGTACTTTTAAGTCCTCTATTTTGGAAATAAAATCCCTAGAATCTTTCAAATAAATTGGTATGGTTGTCACAAAGGGCTGTAAAAAAGAACAGAGATGGATTTTGAATGTCGGTGCACAGTATGCAATCCAGCTGAGTATAATATGGGCAAGTAGCGCGGCTGGTGCCAGAGCAGCCATTATGGGCAACCACACAATTATACTCCTGCCATGTGGCCTTAGTCTTCATCCTGCACTCCAATGCCACTCATTTGTGCCCAAGAGCATGCATCTCCATAGAGGCCCTCTCGAAAACATCTATACTTCTGTGGCAGGACTGAAACGCCTCCTGCACCTTTTCTTCTCCCCAGATTGCGAGCAGATCTAGCGTTTCCCTCTCACGCCACGAAACCCCACAGATGCCGACAGCCTTTGAATTGGAAGTCACGATTCCTGTCCTTGGTCAGACAACTGGAACAAGGAGATAATGGTGATAATGGTGTCTCCTCCACAGCGACCATTTACAAATGAACCTAGTCCTTTTTTTTCAAATATACCCATCCAGCTCACATCTGCTTTCCCAGTTGGTTGGAGATGGATCACAGCCACAGGCACTGGGTGGGTACAATGACATTGTGATTCTCTGATGTGTTGTTTGCTCTCAGGCGTGCGTGAGAACTCTGGGTGAAGAGAACAGAAGCTGCCGTTGCCCCCCACTCCGACTTCAGCCATACAAACCCAGTATGAATTAAAGATAATGTGGCAGCCATCTACTGTAAGCACATGAAAGCATATACCTTGAATTGAAAAAAATTAGCCTTAAAGGTGACAATGTTGGTGTTAAGCCGCTCGCTGAAGAAAGCAGTCGAAGAGTGATTCAGCAAGAACACAACTTTATTCTTCAACTCGAACACAACTCCAACACGGATCAACATCTGATAGCCAGAACAGCTTTCACATTGCAGCTGTCCTGCTTTTAAACATTCCCGGCTAATGTAGCCACACCCACTGTACACATATGAGGTTGCCGAGATTAATGTCCAATCATATTTGTTCCCGCTCAGGGAGCTTGCTTGAAGTGATTGGCTTGTTACTTCCTGGGCTAGCAATTCTATTGGATGGATTTGGATCCTAGCCCAGGACGAAGCTCAACATTACATTTCAGTTAGATGTTTCACAACATTGCATTCCAGGCAGCCTTGAATACATTACACAACCCTACCCCCCATCCCCCGCTGGTGGCCAGAGAGGGGACCTGGCAACCCTACGTTAAATCCAGGGGCCAGTCCCGGGTTGAACGAGGGGCTTAAATGGCACATTCAGCCATATGTGCATCGAATGTCATATAGAAAATTACCCAGTGACCTTGCCAAAGGACATGTGTACACTGTATGCAGATTGCTCATGTGTTCTCTATATAACCTGTGAACAGGCCCAAGGGACCAGTCGAAGGTCACCTGGCATGAGATACACATCAGCCCTAAACAAAGGAATACTCTTTGGGAAGAAGGAGATTATCAGAGACAATTTGCAATTGCGTCACAACGTTAAAACAAATAAAGGGGGGGGGTAGTGGCCACCACTCCTGCTGATGGGGAAAACATTGGAAACATAAGCAAACACCTGGGGAGGCAGCGGTGTTCACAAACTGCTTACAAATAAAAAAACCCTTCATAATAAATAAGCCGCCCAAATAGCAGCATGTTGCTTAAAGGGCCCAAGATGCTGTATTGACATCACATTGTAATGAAATAAATATCACTTACGAAAAAAATCAAGATGACTTGGGAAAAAGGAGTGGATTGGGGAGGATGATAGGGGAGGATGATGGGTGTGGTCAAACAACACTAATGGAGGAGGTGACACCATACGAGGGTGGGGTCAAGGGAGGAAAGTGAAAGCGAATGCTGGGTTCCCCACCAAGAAACTGCGCACAAGAGATCAGAGGCAAAGGAAACTTTGCTTAAATCCAGAATTCAGGAAGCGCATGTCAAGCAGCAGGAAACTATGGATTGGCTTCCAGTAAGGAAAAACCTATTGCAGAACAAACTGCTTTATTTGCATATTTAAGAACTATGACACACCGGTAAGCACTTTTGTGGAATCAGTCAAGGCATTGGGATATGGGGACTTTCAGGGAAAGGAAAGATGAAAATAAGAGCCCCCACATAAGAGCCCTTGGGGGTCCCCCAATTATTGAATATGATTTTTAAAAGAATAAAGAACTGCAAAAGCAAAGCTACCCAACTGGCTGGATTCTCAGTATTCCCATGGATTTGATTTGTCTGGGGTCCATTTAGTCCTCTAAGAGGTTTCATTTATGTCTATCTTGAGCACATTCTAATAACAGATGAACAATATACTGTGCATGGACCATAAACAGCATTTACAAAAAAGTGATAGATCTGGTTTAATAATAAATGCACAGATATCAAGCAAAAGGTGGAGCAGAAATATGATCTTTTCCCAGATTGATCACTAGATGTCACTACAGTTCAAGTAAAATTCATTGTTTTATTTCTTTACCTTTATCCTGAGGTAAAATACTGTGAATGTAGTGAACTAAGCCTCCCAGATTATTCATTGAACTAAATTACTAATTTTACCAGGCATGTTTAATTCAGGAAAACTCTTTGCTTTGGGGAAGAAGCAAATGGACACCAGGATATATCACCAGGACCCATGGCATCTTATTTTTTCTTTGGCTGTGAGAGAAGATGGGCAAAGAGACGACCTTGAGCCACACGGTGAATACCTCCCAATGTTAGAGTGAAGAGTGGTAGGGATCTGTCACCACTCAGAATCCATTTCTACTGGCATTCTTAGGACACTCAGAATGCATATTTCAGCTATGAAACTCTTTGAACTGCAGGGCATTTTACAAGTGCAGCAGAACTTCCATTTCCAAAATAATCTTCCTCAGGATCTTTTGTTTTTTTTTCTATGGCATCCCTATAGCATTTGGGATGTCATGTCAGTCCTCAGACCCAAATAGCAATCACTCTCATGCAGGCCTGTAGCCAGAAAACTTTTGTTAGGGGGAAAATACCGGGAGAGGGAGGAATGTGCCTGACATACCTGTGTGACCCAGAAGTGACATAGGCATGCTGGTGACACTGGGAGGTAATGCTCTGGGGTTTGGGCAAAACTCCATGGTAGAAATTAGCTTCTATCATACCGTTTTGCCCAAAAACCCAAACATCTCTGCCAGGTTTTCCTTGCCGCTCCTCTTACTCTCGAGAAGCTTGTCCAGCTCCCAGTCCTGCTCTGCCACCATTGCACCACTTAAGCCGGCAGGAAGGAAAAGAAAGTTGGGCCTAACTTGACGGGCCGGCTGTCCAGGGAAGCGTGGACAGGAGGGGAACGCTGCACTCATTCACCTGCCCACCCGACTCTCTTTCTTACTCTGCTTCCAGGCACGGAGGAGGCAGGCAAGGCAGGGCAACGGGCGAGCTCAGCAGGCTAACAGCTCTACCCGCCATCCACCCTGCTTTCTGGGACTCGTGTGAATGGCTCCCACTGCTACCCCTGCCAAGCCCAGGCAAGCAGGCAAACCCTCGAGGGTGCTTGCTCTCATGACTTCACCTCCTCAGGATCCGGTTGGCAGGGCAGTGAACCTACACAGGTATGAAGGTCATCAAGTCAGTTTGCTCTCTGTGCCTTGTTCGCTCAGGCAGGGCTTGACAAATCCCAGGCACCAGGTCACCATGGCACCTAAAAATACCATTTTGCCGTAGGGTTGCCTGTTGTCAAACTCTGCCTCGTTTGCCATAGTTATGGGGGGAAATTTCTGAGGGTGTGTGTGTGTGCGAGTGTGAGAGTGGCACCATTGTAGCGGCTACTGTAACTCTCAGAGGTCATTTCGTAGAAAAAGATGTGCAGGAGCTCATTAGCATAACTCATTAGCGTAACTTATTTACATAGGCCACACCCCCTGACATCACCGGAAGTGTGTCAGAAGGCAACACCCACCGCTCAGGCTCCACTGGACTGTTTTGGATTGCTAGCTATTTGGGGGGGGGACGTGCAGATCTGCCCTCGCAGAGGAGGGAGAGCTTGTACCTGAATAAAACTTGGTCTTAAAGGTGCCACTGGCCTGTTTTGGGCCGGGGGGCGGGCTCTGCAACTTACCTGGCTGCTTCTTGCTCTGACTGAGGGCTGCTGGGAGCAGGGGGTGGGGCTTGTTGTATGTGTCCGCCCCCTGGGCTCTTTACTGCCGGAGCTCCGCTCCTGTGCGCTCCTGCAGGAAATGACCCCTGGTAACTCTTCCCAAGACCTGCCTCTCCACGAAGATGACCTTGAAACAAACTCTGTGCTAGCCTCGCTGTCTTAGATAACGGGACTGGGAACTTATAGGTGGGTGTAGATGCTAACAGCTTAGGCAGGACAGCTGAGTAAAATGATTGGATGAACCGGGGGGGGGGGGCGGGACCCACATTTGAATTGTCTATATCTGTATAGGTTACCACCAAAAACCTGAGTTTTGACACAGTACTATTTTAACCTGGCTCATGCTGATATTTCAATGAACAAATCACTACCAAAGAGAGTGTTGTTGGGAATCTCTTCATCAGGAGTCTGACACCAGCCCGTTTTGGAGAAGGCAGTGGGGGGAAATATTTTTTTAAAACTGTCTAGGCTGATAGTGTGATGTTAGTTCTGGGAGAAACCCAGAAGTGATGTCAAGCCACTCTAAGAATCTTTTAAAAACTATAGTTTTACCATAAAGTTTCTGACCATTCATAGAGAGGTTTGATGTCACTTATGAGGTTTTCCTGGAACTGATGTCATGCTGTCACTGATGGCTGCCCCCCCCCATGTCCCTATCCCTATCCCCGTCCCCACCCCTGCTGATTGCCAGTATGGACCTGGTAATTCTATATGTGGTGCCTAGCATTTTCTGCAGTTTTATCATAGAATCATAGAGTTGGAAGGGGCCATACAGACCATCTAAGTCTAGGGGTGGCCAAACTTGCTTAACGTAAGAGCCACAGAGAATAAACGTCACATGTTTGAGAGCCACCAGACATGAAAAATATTACGCACACATTTTTATTGAAAAATATACACATTTGGTATTTATTAACATTAAATGAGACTGCCAAAAATAAAAACTAAAGGGGTAAAAACTGATATTGATAATGATATTTATTTGTCCAATGATATTTGTTTGCTAATGATATTTGTCTAAGAGAGAGAGAAAAGGGGAGAGAGAATGAAAGAGGTGGGGAGAAAGAGAGAGGGAGAAACAAAGAAATCTAGTAGAGGGGGGTGGAGGAAGGGAGAGAGGAAGAAAGGGAGAGAAAAAAGACGAAGACAAAGTAAGCAAATAGATGGGGGAAGGAAATGAGAGAGAAAGAAACAAAGAAAGCAAATAGATGGGGAGGAAGGATGGAAGGAAGGAAGGAAGAGAGAAAGAGAAGGTGGAAAGAATGAAAGAGGTGGAAAGAAAGGAGAGAAACAGAGAAACAGAAACAACAAGAACAAATAGACGGAGGAGGGACGAGAAGTGGAAAGAAAGCGACTTTAACTTTAAATGCATCCTCCAAGTGCATTTAAAGTTAAATTGCTTTCTTTCTCTGCTCTCCCCCACCTCAAGCCTACCCAGGGAGGGGAACACTGCCAGGGGAAGGGAAGACCAATCGGGGAGGCATGCCTCTCCTTTGCTTCCCCAGCCGCCCTGCCGGGAGCCACACAATATGTATGAAAGACTGCAGTTTGGCAACCCCTGATCTAGTCCAACCCCCTGCCCAATGCAGGACCAGCCTAAAGCATCACTGAAAAATATTCGTCCAGCCTCTTCTTGAAAGCTGTCAGTGAAGGGGAGCTTACCACCTCTCTAGGCAGCTGATTCCACCTTTGAACCACTCTGACCGTGAAAAGGTTTTCCCTAATATCCAGCCGATACCTTTCTGCATGTAATTTAAACCCATTGCTTTGTGCCCTATCCTTTGCTGCCAACTGGAACAGCTCCTTGCCCTCCTCCAGATGACAGCCTTTTAAATATTTAAAGAGTGCAATCATGTCCCCCCTCAATCTCCTCTTCTCCAAACTAAACATTCCCAGGGCCCTTAGCCGTTCCTCCAGATGCCTGATCATCCTTGTCGCTCTCTTCTGCACTCTCTTGATTTTGTCCACATCCTTTTTGAAGTGAGGCCTCCAGAACTGCATACAGTACTGTAGTGTCTTTCAGTACTCTAGTATTGTCGTTTCAGTGATCCTCAGTAGAAGTACAATGTTATCATTTCATTTCAGAATACGTTTTGCTGCATGACCTAAAGATACATGTGCATGAAGTTCTTGTCCTTGCTTGTTAACTTTATATGTTAACTTTCCATCGTTCAGGTGATGGTAGATGAATTCGTTTCCTAACCACTTGCTTTCTAAACTGGCTCTAATATTCAGTGAAACAGATTTTTAAAGCAATAGTGAAGTTATGAGAAATTGGGGAGAAGTTAGGTTAGGTTTAGAAGTAAGCTTTCTGTTGTGGTGATGACAAACATGGTTACCCTATATTTATTAATATAATTGTGCCACAGTTTGATTGTTGTTGTTTTTTAAATTATGAGAAACTGTGAAGAGTTTAGGATCAGGTTTTGTGCTAACAGTAATTAGAAAATATGGTCATTAAAATACAAAACCCTGAAGGCTGAAAAATGAGTCTGGCTCCTAAATTTTTCAGCTTGCTCCTAGAGCAGTGATGGCGAACCTTTTAGAGACCAAGTGCCCAAGCTGCAATCCAAAACCCACTTATTTATCGCAAAGTGCCAACACGGCAATTTAACCTGAATACTGAGGTTTTGCTTTAGAAAAAACAACTCATGCATTAATTTAAGATGATCCAAACAAAGTAAGGAAAGCAATCCCAAATGCTTTCATTTACTTAAAATTATTTGGCAGAGAATTCGACACTTTAATGACGGTCTGGGCCTGGCTGGGGCGATGGCACACGTGCCCACAGAGAGGGCTCTGAGTGCCACCTCTGGCACCCGTGCCATAGGTTCGCCACCACTGTCCTAGAGGCACAGAAAATTTGTCAAGGCCTGACAGGGACTAGGATGTAAAAAAAATTCTGAGGTTACTAAACTTCAAAATGGAATATTTCTCCCAGTCACATCCCAGTCCTTGCCCTTGTTAACACTGACATTTCTCTTCTGGCTTCTTCCTCCTCCTCTGACAACTGCTGATTGACTTTCTATGAATGACCTTGATGCCGTCCCATCCTTCTTGCAGGTCAATTTCTTTGTTTCTCAGAGCCTCATAAATGGCATTGGTCATGGTATCAAAAGCCAAATCCACATTCATGTTCTCCTTTGCCGAGGTTCCAATGAAGCGGGTTCCCAGACAAGTGGCCATCCCTTCAGCTTCCTCAATGGAGACTCTGTACTCTGACTGAAGGTCACTTTTGTGTCCAATTAGGAGGAAAATTACTTTCTCCATTATCTGGGCAGTAGTCACTTCATTGTGCCACTCAAAGATGTTCTCAAAGGATCTACGATTGGTCATATCAAAGACCAAGAACACCCCCACCGCATTCCGATAGAAAGACCTGGTGATGGATCTAACAACAAAAATAAAAAAATAGTTAATCAGACTTTCACAAGATTATGTAACCTTTGTTTATGCATTCATATTAATATCAGACATTCATCTTCAGGCATTGTCCACATGGCTTCTTGCCTTCCAGATGTGAATCTAGAATTGGATGCACTTTATTCAAGATTAGAATTGCCCCTTGCTTGCTCTTGAGATTCTGAGGAAGCATGTTCTGACTGTATTCAGAAGCCCATTGGCACTGAACAGGGGCAATGATAGACCAGAACAGACATTTATGTTTCAGTCATTGAACAACTGGCATTTCCTCTCAAGTTCGCTGACTGCATAGCGGAGCATATGACACTTAGTGGGAAAGGAATTAGGAATCCTGGCACAGTCAAGTGTGGTTCAGTGTGCAATGAGTCAGACTGATGAGAGCTGGGTTCCAGTCTCCATTCTGCCATGACACTCACTGGGTGATCTGAGGCCAGTCACTCTTGGACTAATCTACTTGACAGGGTTGTTGTGAGGATAAAAAGGGAAGGGGAGAAGAAAATGTATACTGCCCTAAGCAATTTGTAGGAAGAGTGAGATAAAAATGTGATAGATGGGAGTGATCCAGCCCTGTGCACTCAATGGAGCCCACGCAGGGAGATGCCCACATGGAAAAAAATTGTAATCTGCCTAAGGTCTTGAGATGCTTGGGATAAAGGCAGGCATATATTAAATGAATGATTTTAACTTTGAAATCTCACTCCCAAGTGTTGTCCTCAGCTAGAGCATTAATAGGATGCAAATTCCACAGACGCCAAGTAATGCAAGCTTTATGAGCAAGGCATGAAATCACATGGAAATCACTCCCTGGTCAAAATATCTAACATTTATATACCGCCTTTTCTCTTGGTCCAAGGCAGCTCACAATAATAATTAAAACGTCCCCAGCTAAAACCAAAGATAAAATAAGCCCCAAATCGCTCCCCTCTCTGTCCCTTAAAAGAACACAAGTAGGGAAGGCCATCACTTTCGTGGAAGGTAGCAGGAGTTGACGTAACAGACGACAGCTTCTTAAATGGGCAGTTCTATGTGGCCTGCTCCAGAGTGAGCTCATCAAGCAGCCTGGTGATCCTAGCACCTGAGGGCAGAACCACCAGTGTGGTCTAGAGAGGTCCTTCAGCAGAGAGAAAAAAAGTACGTATGTCTCACTTCATATCTTACACTACAATCTTCTCTGTTAGGATTCCTACAACAAATGTCACATTTCAAATTTCACATTATCAGTATTATAACTGGATTTACACAACTTAAATACCGTAGCAAAGGACAGGTAGCAGGCTAGTATATATATATAAAAGAAAGTCCCCTCACTGTAAAATCAACGCCCAGGCCTAACCGCTGGACCTAAGACACACCAAATTTGGGGAGAGCGCTCCTACCATGGCATAGGTGCTCGCTAAGAAGCGATTTTTAGAAATTCGACCCCTAAGTGGGTCAAAAGGGGGGAAATGTGCTCCCCCCATTGATACCTATGTGACTGCCAGGCAGCTGCCTCTCTGCATCCCCCACTCTCTGATTGGTCAGCTGCAGAGCTCAGTGTTCTGAAGACAACTTGATTCTGAAGAACACTGTGGCAACACAATCAAAGAAGGCAATTCTTGGACCAAAAGTCTATACTTTAGAACCACTGGGCAAGTGATTGCACTTTTAAATATCTCGTTTGCATATTTATTCTGTGCCTGGTGGCTTTATTCTGGAAAAACTTGTTTTCTGGTCCATATTGAATTTATATTTTGTATCCATTCTGATTGTGTCTATATGAGTGCATTATATTTTTATAGCCATCTTGCCACGCAATTGTTTGACCTCTAAGGAAGGCCTATGCAGGCTGAAACGCGTCAGGTCAGGTTTTTAAAGCCCGTGTGTATTGGTATGTTATTTGTATATTTGATGTGAATGGGCCCTTAAATATGTTTTAAATTTGTACTTAATAAATACATGTAGCTTTTTCTATATATCTTTTACATTTAGTTTTTATATTGGCCCTCTTTTTCACATTTTACTAACCTTTGTTAGGTTCTGAATTTTAGTGTTAAGGTTCAGTTTTTTGCCCTTTCTGTCCCTGCTAGAGAGAGTTCCTTCAGTAGAGAAAAAAGAAAAAGTAAGGACTTCCGGTCTATGGAACAGCGATGGCTGACCCTCTCCCCACAACGGGGAAGGGCGAATCGCACACCAGCAGCCTGGAGGGGTGCCACCTCAAGTGACACCCCCACGGAGCCTTTGTGATAGGCTCCAGGCCAGGGGGCTTTTGAGGGGTAGTCTCTTCGACAGCGCAATGCCGGAGAATTGAGGCTTCCCTCCGCCCCGAAGGTCCCGTTGCTGAGTGGCCTTCAGGCACAAGCTGGACTGACCGAGAAGCGCTGGAGATCGAGCGG